TATCATTGTTGTTGTCACTGTCACTGGGTCAATGTGGTCATTCTCAAAGAACAGTCCATATAGATCATTGGGGACCCCCAAGGCCTTTTAAGGAAATCTGACAAAACCACTTTGTAATACCGTGATGCTAGTATGTGGTTTTGCTTCTTTTCATTCTCATCCCTCCTAACTGCAGGTGGAGTTTCCTACAAACCAGAGGCTATTTAACTTGTGATAGCACAATTGTCTGAGGGCAGAAATGCCAGCCAACTTCTACTGACTCAGACCTGAAAGGGATTTGACATGTGTAAAACAATGGCAGGCTTCTCACTATTATTTTTTGGCAAATCTATATATTTTAATAGAAATATATTGTGTTCATATGCAATGGGTACAGAATTCTGTTTTACAATGATTTCAGAAATATCTTAGACTTTTAATTTCTAGTATGGCAATTCTGATGTGACACTGGTTAAGCACTTGGGTGATGACAGAAAGGCTATCAGTGTGGACCCAGCAGCCACGCTGTGGGGGAAAGATGTGGCATTCTCTTCCCATAAATATTACAGACTTGGAAATCCTACGCGGGAGTTCTACCCTGCTCTATAGAGTGGCTCTGAGGTGGAATAAATTAGACAATGGGCTATGGTTTAGTATGCCAAATGTCACTATTTATAATCTATAATAACTAGATAATCTAATCTATATTTTTAGTTTATTTGAGTCCTTAGTAACTGTTAAGAGTATAAAAAAGAACTTGAAACCAGAAAGTATGAGACCCACTGCAGTAAAGAGAAGCTACTTTTCTGGCAGCACTTAGCACCCTCCACCATCTCTGCCTGCAATCTTCCACTAGACCCAGTTGCCTGGCAATCTCTCTTCCCATCAACATGTGATTCACTGATGACTTGTTGGCCCAGTAAATCCTGGAACTAGGTATATATGCCCCTTTCTGGAGGCAAAACTGGTGGTTCTCACCGGGTGGCACAAAGACCAGCATCAGCTTCACCACGGAGTGTGCTAGAAATACAATTGCTCTGGCCCACCAAGACCCTACTCTGGATGGAGTCCTGTGCGCTGTGCTTTCGTGAGCTCCGTGGCTGATGGTGATGCACGCTGGAGCTTGAGACACTGAGTGACAGAGGGGCACAGGCCATGCGCTGTCATCTCGGGGAGGCCTCCAGGGCAGCAAGCACACACTTCACAGGGCGGCTTTGTTAAGTGGACGGTCAGGTCTTCCTTGGTAGTTCTGGAAGGGGGCTTCAGGCTGCACTCCTGAGAATCTCCTAGCTGATGCCGAGGCTGTTCAACCCTGAACCACAAGTGAAACAGCAAAGCCATGGAGTCCAGCAGGGCTCAGGCTTTATGG